TATATATATATATATATATATATATATATTAGGATTTTATATATATGTAGATTGTAAATAACAATAATCTATAAGCGTTTGACCATTTTGACCAAATCGATCGGTAACTTTATAATTATATTAAAAATAATTTTTTATTATTGAAAAGATAATTGATCCTGGGCGGAAAAGAATAAATTGAAATTTCCGACCGACATCGGTCGGTAAACTATAATTATTTTAATTAAACTTTGTAATTATATTAAAAATAATTTTTTATTATCAAAAAAAACAATTGATCTTGGGCGGGAAAAAATAAATTAGAATTTCCGACCTACATCAGTCGGTATTCTATAAATATTTTAATTAATCTTTTCTTTGGTAGATAGTATGCAAGTCTGACGAGGCTTTGGTCAAAGATTGACCATTTTTCGACAGCAGTCGGTCAGAATTTTTAACTGTGTGAGATAAAGTAAATTTTCTTTGCTGTGAGACCACATTTTTCGACTGACTGCGGTTGGTATATTTATGTACAATTTGTTAATTAAATATTTTGACCAATTTCCTTTGTTTTCGACCGGCACCAGTCAGTTTTTTATTCCGATCAATTTCGGTCGGTATGCTCTCGAAGGATTTTGACGGTTTTCTAGTAGTGATATACTCCATCTTTTCATGCTATGTATCATGAGACGGAGTACAAAATCAAATTTACTTAATTTCCGGTATGAATTTGGATATATAAGCTTTAAATTTGTTAATTTTTTTTTTATATATTTAGAAATTATATAAAATGTATTATAAGTCATACGTAATAGTTAACTATTCAAAATATTAGTATAATATTTGAAAAAAAACACGATAATTTGTTTTTTGTGTCACATAAAGTGAACAAATGGTGTTATTTATTTCAAAATGACGTTCCCGAGCAATTTTCAGTCGATAATGTATACTACTTACATCTAAATCTCAAGCAAATTAAGGTTAAACGTATGAATTCTCACTATTCAATCGCTTCATTTAAATTCGTCAGTATAATGCATGCATGATATTTGTGTGCGAGAACATGATTTGCCCTCTTCATTTTTGGAACATTTGCACTTGGTTTTGAGGGATGAGATTTGTTAAGCAAACCAGGTAAATATTTTGGAAAATCCCAAAATATTTGTGTGCGAGAACATTTGCCCTCGGCCATTTATCAAATACTTTCGCAAATCCCAAATGGAGATGGAGAGCTGGTTTATGGTTGAATTAGACACAAAAAATCATGAAACTTCTGCGTAAAGTAAATTTATTGAAGTAAAATCTTGGACTCAAAGGCTGCATTTCTTGGGAACGAATTTTTGAAAAGATCATTTCTCAGCTCCTGTTGCTCCATACATGTAAAGTTATCCATTTCGACATCCTTTAGCTTATTCTTCCAACATTTTAAAGGTAGAGATGCACAACATGTTATCTCATCTTCATCTGATACATCTTCATATATAAACTTCAGGGTACACTTCAAGCGTAGACTACGTCGAACAAAACATAGGGTGTCCAGCCGAGGACAGATCCAAAGCAAACTATCAAGAACGTCCTAAACTGAGTAATTCTCTGCAGCACTTCTAAATTCTATATACAAACAATCAGTATCAGAGAGTGGAGGAACCAAGTTTTTTCTCGTGTTCTTTGGTATAACTATCGCCTTTTCACTGTCGCACCCTAACACAATACCCTTTGATTGCTTGAAGCATCCAAGAAATCTCATGAGCTCGGAGTACCAATGACTATCAAGTGTCTCTCCCCGGTACAAGAATAGTTGCACTTTTAGAAAGGCTGAAGCTTTCAATTTGAGTGTAGGCAGCTGATTAATACAATAAGCATAAGAGAAGCTTGTTAAGTTAAGAGTATCCAGTTCAATATCAATCAGATTAGAGCAAAATGATACATCAAGATTCTCAAGCCGGTCACTTGAAATCTTGATTGTCTTCAATTCACTGCAACTGAGTAAGCACAAGTCTTCAAGATTGGGTAGATCACTTGAAAATATGTCCTGTAACACTTCATCGGTGACACCCACATGATGAAGGTACAATCTTTTCAATGATTTGCAAGCAGTTATTCCAATTACTTCCAACATCCAATCAATGTGAAGATTTTCAAGATTGGATGCTACAATATCAACCATCTGTAAATCATAAAGACAATCCAACCAAACACTCCTCAGTTTGGATAAAGTTCCTCCAATTTGTAAACTGGCTAGTCCGCGACATTCATTTATCTTTAAATCCTCTAAGTCACTGCAACTTTCACATACAGCTCGAATAAAGTGGTCGCTCAAAAGTGTCTTAGAGAGGTGTAACACTCTCAAAGACGAAAACTTTATGCCATTGTGGGGCAATTCAAGCTTAAATCCCTGTAAATTAAGAACATTTAGTTCTTTTGCAACAAAGATTGCTTCAGGCAAAGTGTTGTAACCATCGTCAGGTGTATCAATACTTAAAGTCAACTCTTTGATGTTAAGAGATACAAGTGTATTAATCCAACCATGGATATANTAGCCATTCCCCATTCATGTGGGGGATTGTTGAGGTTTTTTGTTATTTAAGATGAAATAGTCTTAAAATGAGGGTGAATGGGAAATGGAGGAAAAATAAAATTTTTGAGTAAAATTTTAAGTTTCCCCCTCTTGACAATGAGACATTGTCCCATATTGGAAGAGGAAAAGATTTTTGGTGGGTATATATATATAATTGCTCTTCTTGTAGCTCTTAAAGAGTTAAGAAGAAAGCAAGCCTCGCGCCGTCGTCGTCGTTGCTCGCTCGGCTCGGCTTCGGCTTCNATGTCTACAGAAGTTCATCAAGGAAGATGTTCCTGATCTGCCAGATAAAACTCCAGAGAATGAAAGTTTTATCGTGATTAAAGCGTGGAAGCATTCTGATTTTTTATGCAAGAATTATATTCTTAGCGGACTGGATGATAATCTGTATAATATATACAGTAGCGTGGAGACCTCAAAAGAATTGTGGAATGCGCTTGAAAAGAAATATAAAATT